TTTTTTTTTTTTTTTTTGAGATAGAGTCTGACTATGTTGTCCTCGGTAGAGTGCTATGGCGTCACAGCTCCCAGCAGCCTCAAACTCTTGGGCTTAAGCTGTTCTGTTGCCTCAGCCTCCCTAGTGGCTGGGACTATAGGCAACCCACCACAACGCCCAGCAATTTTTTTGGTTGCAGTTGTCTTTGCTGTTTAGCAGGCCCAGGCCAGGCTCGAACCCACCAGCCTTGGTGTATGTGGCCAGAGCCCTACTTACTGAGCCACAGGCGCTGAGCCTCAGCTGTTTTTAGAGATAGGATTTCACTCTTACTCAGGTGGTCCACCCACCTCAGCCTCCCAGAGTGCTAGGATTACAGGTATGAGCCACCAAGCCGTTCAAAAGCCTTTTTAAATGTAATGCTATTATATTGTATTTAACTTTGGATTAAATGATTCCTTAAGATTCTTCCACTTCAGATATTGCATACGGTCTTAAAGTGTATTGTTAACTGACTTTTAATGTGTTTAAGAAATACTGAGGATTTTTCCCTAATATTTTGCTTTATTTTACAGCCTTAGGGTGGTCTCAGCCGTGTGACGTCTGGAGTATAGGATGCATTCTTATTGAATACTATCTTGGGTTTACAGTATTTCCAGTAAGTGACAATGATCTGTTCTATTCTTTTGTACAAGAAAGGGGCCTATTTACATATGTGAAGGAATACTTTAATTCAAAATATACGTATACCTTTAACATAGCATTTTTCATCAGAGGCTATTAATTGTAGATAAGCATAAAGAAATAAAGATGTAATTATGATGTATCTTTTCTTAATATTTATTTTATTTGAAGCAGTTTTAAAGCACTTAGCCTGTCCATTTAGAGGAATCATTATCAAACTTGTTCTGTAGGCCTGAATAGTTTTTGCTATCAGCTGTAACTTGCAATAGGCTCGGCGCCTATAGCTTAGTGGCTAGGGCACCAGCCACATATACCTTGGCTGGCAGGTTCAAACCCAGCCTAGGGCTACTAAACAACAATGACAACTGCAACAACAGCAACACAAATAGCCAGGCATTGTGGCAGGCAGTTGTAGTCCCAGCTGTTTGGGAGGCTGAGGCAAGAGAATTGCTTAAGCCCAAGAGTTTGAGGTTGCTGTGAGCTGTGATGCCATGTCACTCTACTAAGGGCAACATAATGAGATTCTGTCTCAAAAGAATAAATACATAAATAAACTTGGCAATAAATTGTGCCTTTTTGGTGGTCACCTTCTTTGTGATACGACAAAATAAAACTCTGTCTCTAAAAAAAAAAGAAAAGAAAATTAACCATTGTGTTAAATTGAAAATGAAGCAGAATGTATATGCAGAGATAGTTAAATTGTTTTTCTTTTATTATTTTAGACACATGATAGTAAGGAGCATTTAGCAATGATGGAAAGGATTCTTGGACCTATACCAAAACACATGATACAGAAAACCAGGTATGTTTTTTGAAGAGTTAGTGCTGTTCTTATTACTACTTGGCCTTGGCCATGTGTTCTGATTAGAACTTTGTAAAACAAGGTTAAGTGTGGCGGCTCACGCCTGTAATCCTAGCACTTTGGGAGGCCAACGTGGGTGGATTGCCTGAGTTCACAGGTTTGAGACCAGTCTCTAAAAAATAGCCAAATGTTGTGGTGAGCACCTGTAGTCCCAGCTACTCAGGAGACTGAGACAAAAGAATCACTTGAGTCCAAGAGTTTGAAGTTGCTGTGAGCTATGATGCCATGGCACTCTACCCAGGGTAACAAAGTGAGACTCTGTCTCAAAAAAAAGAACTTTATAAAACAAGTGTTAAGTCAAGGGCAGTGCCTGTGGCTCAATGGGTAAGACGCTGGCCCCATATACCGAGGGTGGCAGGTTCAAACCCAGCCCCTGCCAAACTGCAACAAAAAATTGCCGGGCATTGTGGTGGGCATCTGTAGTCCAAGCTACTTGGGAGGCTGAGGCAAGAGAATTGCCTAGGCCCAGGAGTTGGAGGTTGCTGTGAGCTGTGATACCACAGCACTCTATCAAGGGCAATAAAGTGAGACTCTGTCTCTAAAAAAAAACTTGTATAAGTCAAACTAATGCTTTTTCAGTTAAGCAGCAGATTAGTTGATGGAAGGAGATAATCTAATTTCTATCCTTTGGTTACATTTTTAAGTTTCTAGACCAGCATTAGTCTTTGATCTGTAAAAGGATAGTAATTGATGCAATCGTTCACCTTTGCTGGATGTTCTAAATTTCCTTTATTTATAAGTTTGTGTTATAAACATGAATGGATATGGACTTATTTTTAGGAAACGTAAATATTTCCATCATGATCGATTAGACTGGGATGAGCACAGTTCTGCTGGCAGATACGTGTCAAGGCGCTGTAAACCTCTGAAAGTAAGTCTGGGGTATTGCTTTAATGATCAAAACCAGTAGCTTCTCCTGTTTTTATGGTTGTGACAAAATATAGTTAAATGATACTGAGTGCATTTCTGTTTTTCTTTTAGGAATTTATGCTTTCTCAGGATGCTGAACATGAACTTCTCTTTGACCTCATTCAGAAAATGTTGGAATATGATCCAGTCAAAAGAATTACTCTCAAAGAAGCTTTAAAGCATCCTTTCTTTGACTCAATGAGAAAAACTCAGTAGATCTATAATTGTGTTCAGCTCTCTTGAAGAGATCTTACAAAGTGGACTGTATCAGTCTAATTTTAAAATACTAAGTTATTTTGTATAGCTTTGTAAATTTCTTAACATTTTTATATCATTGCCATGTTTATTTTGTTTGGATAATTTGATTTAAGTACATAGCTCAGTATAGTAATGAACTTCTTTTTCAGTAATTATAAAATGATTTCTTCAGAATAAACTTTGTGCTTATGAAATTTATATATGAATGTATATAATTAGTTTTTAGCACCATTTTCTTCCTACCTCTATTATTATAAAGAATGGACATAGGTTTTTATCTTTGTAGGTTTTCTTAGGTATTTAGAAATACTTAGCTTTATTTCCATTTTAAGGATTATCAAAATTGGGGCTTATCCCTTCCTTTTCTAAGTTTAATGTGATGAAACCAAACTACAGTTAGCAGGTTAGCCAAGGATTCAGGTTTAGTATTGCTATTTGCTGGTCTCCACTTCAGTAGGATTATGCAAGTGACTAGGTCCTGGTACTCCTTCAGGACTGATAACTATGGAGCTTTAACAATCATTTGCAGCCAAGGAACAGGAAGCTTTAAGAATCATTTGCGGCCAAGGATCAATGGAACTTCAACAATCATTTGTGGCCAAGTCTCTGAATTATCAAGTGTCTGTAATAAGGCAAATTTTTGGCTGGACACCGTGATTCACACCTATCATCCTGGCACACTGGGAGGGTGAAGCGGGTAGATTGCTTAAACTTAGGAGTTCAAGATCAGCAAGAGCAAGGCATCCTGTCTTCACTAAAAATACTAGCTGGGCGTTGTGGCTCCCGGTAGCCCCAGCTATTTGGGAGGCTGAGGCGGGAGGCTGAGGCAGGAGGCTCGAGCCCAGGGGTTTGAACTTAAAGTGAGCTGTGATGATGCCACTACACTCTAGCAGAGCAACAGTGAGAACCTCAGAGGCATGCAGGGGCCAGATGAGTGGTTCTCAACCTTCCTATTGCCTCCTAATGCTGCGACCCTTTAATACAGTTCCTCGTGTTGTGGTGACCCCCAACCATAAAATTATTTTCGTTGCTACTTCATAACTGTAATTTTGCTACTGTTATGAATTGTAAATATCTGATACGCAGGATGTATTTTCATTGTTATAAAGGAGTTGCAACCCAGAGGTTGAGAACCGCTGGGCCAGATCATGTAAGGCCTCGTACACCATTGTAATGACTAGATTTTATTCTGTATGGGGTAGGAAGTCACTGCTCTACATGGTGGCAAGAATGTTTGCCATCAGCCACTGGCTTATATGCTTCCCCTAGAAGAGAGAAAAATCGCCCCCTTTATAAAAGAGAAAAAGATTCCCAGAAAGGTGATGATAACCTTAGATTTACTTCCGCAAAATCCATTGGTTTGAGGGAAATAGGTAAGAAGTTTGGACAAAGACTGACCATGAAAAGATGGTAATAGATGAAATTGGGTTGATCAATCAAGGTTCATTGTATTATTTTCTTGTACGTTTTTAATTTTCTGTTAAGAAAGTTAAAAGTAAATTGAAGAAAAACTTTCTCTGAAGTAGGTTAGAGAAATAAAAAGAAAAATGCAAAAAAAATTGTTTTCTCTTTTTTTTTCATGCAAATCCCTCTGGAACAACAACAACAAAAAAACCTGGGAGAGCTTTCCATGTAGCTGGATTATATTAGCCAGAGGACTTAAGACGTTCTAAGTTGATTGACATTCTGGTTGATGCAGCCATTTGTGAACTTTGTTGATATTCCATTCTTGGTCTACAGACTATGTTTCTGAACCAAACCTTTTGATCAGAAGTTGGCAAATTTTTCTGTAAAGGGACAGATAGTAAATATTGTAGTCTGCAACCATATAGTCTTTTGCAAACTGTACTGTTGTAGCGAGAAAATGGCCATAGGTAGTAAGTAAAGGAATGGTTTCCCTGTATTCCAATAAAATAGAATTTCCAAAACTAAGCCGTAGGCAGCTGGATTTTCAGAAGTTTGATATGTATTGATTTCTTTGAGTTTATCCTATTTGTGGGTACACTCAGCTTCTTAAATCTGTTATGCCTTTTGGCATATTTGGGAGATTTCAGCCATTATTTCCTTGAATATTTTTTTAGTCCTGCTTTCCATGAATCCAGTGACTTGCATGTTGCATCTTTTGTTACAGTTCCATAGGCTCTCTGGGCTTTCTGCCCCATTGCCACCCCCAATCCATTTTCTTGTCACTCAGGTTAAACCATCTTTATTCAAGAGTATTTTCTTCAGTCTTCTCCATTCTATAGTTTAGCCCCATCCTTTGAGGTTTTTTTCCCAGCTATTTTTCAGTTCTAAAATTCTCTCTGGTTCCTCATAGTTTGCTGAGACGTTCTACTTTTTCATTTGTTTAAAGTGCTAATGGCAACATGTAAATGACAACTGCTTTAAAATTGGTGGATAGGGTGGCGCCTGTGGCTCAAGGAGGAGGGTGCAAGCCTCATATGCTGGAGGTGGTGGGTTCAAACCCAGCCCCAGCCAAAAACTGCAAAAAATAAATAAAATTGGCGGATAGTTCTAAGGTCTATCATCTTGGTATTCATGTCTTTTGGCTGCCTTTTCTCATTTAACTTAGAATTGTCTTGGTTCTTGGTGTAACACGTGATTTTTGATTGAATCCTGGACATGTGAAACATTTAGGTTATGAAACTCTGAATCCTTCTTAAATGTTTTGTTCTTGTTTTGAGACAGAGCCTCAAGCTATCCCCCTGGGTAGAGTGCTATGGCATCACAGCTTACAGCAACCTCCAACTCCTGGGCTCAAGTGATTCTGCCTCCGCCTCCCAAGTAGCTGGGACTACAGGCGCCTACCACAACTCCTGGCTACTTTTTTTTTTTTTTGGTTGTAGCTGTCGTCGTTTGACAGGCCTGGGCCAGGCTCGAACTTGCCAGCTCCTATGTAGCTGGCACCATAGCCACTGAGCTACAGGCGCCAAGCCTGGATCTCATATTTAATAAATAGCCAGGCATGCTAGTATGCACTTATAGTCCTAGCAGTCCTAGGTACTCAGGATTCTGAAATGAGAATTGCTTTAGCCCGGGAGTTCAAGGCTACACTGAGCTATGATCATGTCACTGTACTACAGCCCGGTGACAGAGAAAGACCCCATGACCCCCCCCCCCGCAAAAAAAGTCTGGATCTCCTGTGGATCTGTTGCTATTGTTTATTCCTCTGTTGATTTTGGTCTCTGTGTGTGTGTGTTCTTGCACACACACACACACACGCCATCTTTATTTGAATGCCAATAAATTACAGAGATAATTTGAAGCCCAGGATGATGTTATTGTCTCCAAGGAGGATTTTCACTTACTCCTGACAAGTGGATAGAAGATAAATTATCCTAACCTAATCAGATATTGAGTTGATTCGAAGATAAACTTCAGTCTTTTTTAGGGCAAATCTATTTCCTATCCACTCTTATTGTTGCCTGCCTTCCTGCCTTCCTGCTTGCCTTCTCTTTCTTTCTTTCCTTCTTTCTGTCTTTCCTTTTTTTTGAGACAGAGTCTCACTATGTTGCCCTTGGTAGGGTGCTGTGGCATCACAGTTCACAGCAACCTCAAACTCCTGGGCATAAGCGATTCTCTTGCCTCAGCCTCCCGATTAGCTGGGACTACAGGCGCCTGCCACAACGCCTGGCTATTTTTTTTGTTGTTGTTGCAATTGTTAAGGTGGCCCAGGCTGGGTTCAAACACACCACCCTCGGTGCTGTAACCACTGTGCTATGGGCTCCAAACCTTATTGTTTTTAGTGACATCCTTGAGTAATACACTCTTAAGGTATGTACTCAGTCCCTGAAAATTCAAGTGCAAGTATTAATAGTTTGTTTTGGGAAATGATCCCATGAAATATCAATAGTGGAGTGGAGAAGTGAAGCAGAGAAGCAGACAGCTAGTAGTGTACTCTACAAACAAATTACCTATGTTAAAAATTATTAATTTAGACGCTATTAGGTTGAGAGGGCTCTAGTATCTTCAGTTCCTGTATAAGCCCACTGAAACCCAAATCAATGTAAACAGTAACACAGAACTTAAGTGTAACCAATCAGAAACCACCAGCTAACCTCTGACTAGGGAATTTACCAATCAGAAACTTCCAACTAGCTTCTAATTTAGGACTTTCCACTTTAGCCAACCAAATATTTCCTTTGTCTTACTTCCAGAAACACCTTGTAAGTTTTTCCCTTATACCCCTAATTCATTTTCTGTTGCTGGAACAATATCTGAGACTGGGTAATTTATAAAGAAAAGAGGTTTATTTTTTATAGATCTGGAGACTGGGATGTCCAGGATCAGGTGACTGAATCTATTTGGCTTCTGGTGAGGGCCTCATGCTGTGTCATGCTGTGTCAACAGGGCAGAAGGCATCACGGGGCAAGAGAGGTGCCTAAGTGCCAAACTGGCCTTTAGACCACATAATAGACCCACACTTGTTAGTTGATAATGTTGTGCCCACCCCGGGGGTCGCCTACCCAAAGACCACTCACAATCACAAATCGATGCAAAAAGCAAGAGGCAGGTTTATTGCTGGCGCG